TCGTTAAATATCAAAATTCAATCCAAATAATTCTCATAATAATAATAGGTAATAATGGGAAGAGATCATACTTTGCACGCAGGACAACCAGGATGGGTGCAATTTTATATTGACCCAAAGCGTAAGAAAAAATATATTGGAGTTGTATTAAGTCCAAATGATAAATTACCGAGACCGCCTACCGAGCCAAGAAGGCGTAGATTTGATTTGATTGATGTTACACAATATCATGAAGAGTTACGTAAATCCAGAGAAATTGCTATTTCTAAGAAACAACAAAAATAAAGGTACATTGATTCTTCGGATTGCTTTTACAATTATTACTTTTGTTCTGTACTTGTTTATTCTGTTTTGCTGAATAGGTTTTTTTTTTTTTAAAAAAAAAGCTTCAATATATATTTTTAATATACATCTTTCAAAAAAATATTATAACATTAGTATAATTCAATTGTAAATTTGCTACGTAGTAAACAAGCAGGAAATGATGGGAATTAACTTTGTCTTTTCTGTGAACCCAACTTTTGGTTATATCAATCCCACCCACCCTATCCGGAAGTAAAACAGTACTTGATATGAAATTACCTTCTGCGCACTAAAAAAAAAAAAATCTTTACAAAATTTTAGTACAGGAAATGCTCTATTATAACCTCTATCCTAACTAACTAAGATTTTATTACTTTAAAAATATTGCGCGTATTCGATTGGTTTGATTAGCGTAATCATCTGAAGAATTTGAATATGCTTTTGAGTATAGGGATTGTTTAAATTGTGGCCTGTTGAGATGACAGTCACAGTAGGGCAATGGCATGTTGAAACGACAGCTAATGCGTCACATATCAAAAAAAAAAAAGTAATAGCAAGCCGATTCATCGTTATAGTTTACCCCAAAAATGAGACAAAAACAAATACAAACCCCTAAAAAGGAAATGGCCAATCGGAGTGCACAATATTTAACTGTTCCAACATGAATTCCGAAAGAAGAAAAGCGAAAATACTCAAAAATTAGTCTAACCCTAAACTTCTATCTTTACGTTAGGGCGGGGGGCACGGGAAAATTTTTGGGCATGCCCCTATGGGCATGCCTCGGGCTAGAGGCATGCCCCTCTATGCCCGGGCATGCCCCCCTTGAATTAGAAACACGGAATTTATATATGCAGTATATATTTTACTAATGATTAAAAATTAAATAATGTTTTACTCAATTTTATCTTGTCAATTTTTAATACTGTCAATTTTTAAATACTGCGCACAACTAACGATTTTTTTAAACTGCGCCTAATTTAAATACTGCGCTCAAAGCCAAAACTAAATTTTTAAAAACTACGCCCAATTTAAATACTGTTACTAAGCAATTTTTTTTAATAAAAAAAAAATTGCTAATTTATTTATTGTAGAACATAATACTAAAAATTAATTTATTTGCAATTTAATATACTACGTTATCAGTTCGTTCGGCTCAATTATTAATCGGGTCTTTATGCTAGTCAATTATACAGGCAAAATCAAACATAAATCTGACATAGAAAGATTTAAACTTTTCGTCACACGATATGTACTAGAGTGACACGTGCCAATTAGATTTTTAAAAAAATTTTTTTTCGCTTTATTAGGGATTTTAAAATTTTTGAACATAAAATTATTTTTAAATCTGCTAGAGAAGTTAATTTCATGTTCGACTTTATTTATTCAGTGGTTTTAGTTAATTAATATAATCTTTATTTTTTAAAAACGAATATTTTGAATTTTACATTGATAAATCAAACAAAAACTAATACAATTTTAAATTACATATTAAGAATATCGTTAACGGACCATTCTTCTTCTACCGGCTGGTCGTTTCTTTCTGCACCAATCTGGGGTAAAAAATCGGTAAGAGCTTCTTGATCTCTTTCAAACGCTGCAATATCGAAGAATTCTTCTATAACAGAAATTTCTTCTTGCGCTATTATCACTTCTAGTTCTTCATTCACATCAATCTGTTCGCCTTCCTCTTGTTCATCGTCAAAAAAGATGTCAACGTTGTCATCATCCTGGATTGAAGATTCAGAAACAGCTTTAGGCTTTCTATTCTTAGTGAGTACAGCTTTTTTTAGTTCAGTTCGAAGCTGTCCAAGGATGGAAAGACTGTCGGGGGTTAATCTATTTCTCGCTTTTGATTTGACTATTCCAAGTAATGAAAAAAGTCGTTCACAGGC